GTGGATGCACACACTGTGTGGGTAATTATCTCAGAATGTAGCTTTATCTTATATAGAGGAACAACAAAATACAAGCATGGCTATGTAATGAAATGCAGATGTGATGAAAGAGCACCTTGGCCATTCAGCTTTGTAAAAAAAAGAAACGTTAAAAGGAAAATCTGGTGCAGCGTATTTTTTTCACAGGTGACAGAAAGTCAAACATAGTTTACTCACTGAGGACAAACTTGACCTCTGAAACTACTAATGTTAAAAGAAAGTGATTGGACTTCTACTGTTAGAAATATTTGTTGTCCCTTTAACATCAAAGATAAGCAACTTTTCATCAATGCATCTGTGAGGACCAAAGAACTTTTAAATCATAAAAATCCCTCAGGAATTCTCGTTGGACTGTTCTCAAATTCATTTTGCAGCAGCAACAACAAATGTCTTCAGTGACCAGGTGTCCACAGAAACCCGATCACAGTGAAAGTAGAAAAGCAGCAGATTTTAATCAAACACCTTTTAATCAAAAATTCTTTATTGATAAACCAGGTAATGTTAAAAGGTTAAATTATTTAACAGCACAATATTTCCAAAATTACATCAAGATAATATTTTTATGAAAGATTATTTTTGTCCCTCAGGAAATGTCATAGACTAACTGTCGGTGTAGAGAGTGAAACCACAAAAGGCTAAAAAAGGAAATAGACGAGTTCTTTATTTGATGTTAAAGAGCTGATGAGCTCTTTGAGTTCTCTTTTCATTCGTAATGACTAACTGGCTCCCTTTGTCTGTGTTTTGTCCTGCTACCTTTTCTTTTCTTTTTCCTTTCCACTCACTGGTTCTGCCGTAGGCTTCTTCCTGTAAAAGTAAGCACTTTCCCACTGTTGCAACGTATTTGCTCACAGGGGTCGCTTGATTGCTGAGGTTTTCTCCAAAATACAATATGGTCTTTACCTTACAGTATAAAGTCGAGGCACTTTAATGACTGTCATTGTGATTTGGCAATATCGAAATAAATCCTCACTTATGCTGAATCCATTCAACCATTCATTCATTTTCTTCAACTTATCCAACCATCCAAAGCCGAGAGGTAGGATACACCCTGAACCGTTCACCGATCTACCGCAAGGCTTTTGTCCCGAATGCTTTTCAAGTATATCATTTAGGATTAAACTCTTGTTGAATAACTGAAAGTATTTCGCATTCAAATGGAAGTTCATTTGTCATACATGGCTGTAGGCACAGCATGTGAGTCTGACTGCACAGCGCAAATCTGTAAATAAGTTCGGGAGGCCCCTTCTGATCACAGAAGGTTTTAAGAGATCAGACAGGCTTTAGGTGGCCCTCTCATCACTTTTGGGCTGCAGGGACAGTAGTGACAGCGAATCTACACATGGCACATGCATAAGGAGCTTTTTTGTAATGAAGTTTGCTTTGCAGCATTGTGAGGCTGGGCTTTGTGAAAGCAGTGCTTTGAGCCAAAATCTAATGTAGAACATGCACGCTGTTGAAAGTGTACAATCCTGAGGGTGACAGTCGAGATAATGTTTCACTAAAAACCACAACTTCAGTTTTCTTTGACATTTGGGTATAAAATGCACACTTCCCTTTTTTTTCTCACATAATACTGAATGTAGAGCTGTTCAGGAGTCAGGATCAAAGTGCCATTTCAAGAGTGTTTTGTATCGCTGCGCACACACAGTGTATGATTGAACAGCACACCTCACTTATCACAAAGCAAGAAGCGTAAATGTTTGCCTCATAAACATTATGTTCTAGCCAAACAGAGTTCGAGCCTAATGGCCTAATGGCATGGCTTTCCCCATCTCACTCTCTTCTTGGTTCCTTGAATATTCAGTCATGAAATTTCCCCTCAAGGGGTCTTAGTGGGAAAAAAAAAGAAATTATTTCCAGACTTTTCCTCTGTCCAACATTCCTTCTAGATAAACATCCTGGAATCATGACTCTGCACCTTATCATAACTCAGTACCTTTCACCATGAGTCAGCACTTTGAGGATTATTTAGTTTGTGGACA